CTGCTGAAAACAGTAAAAACCATCCCAGGTATTAAACAGAGCAATTCAAAAACAGCACAAGATAATATTTTTAAAAGCGCACTTTACAAAAATTAAGAAATCGGAAGGGGTTAAAAAGTTGCCTAGAATCCACTTCAGTCCAAGACAACCCGAATGGTTAATGTCCTGTTTGAAAGAGAGCAGGAAGGGAGTGTGAAGTGTACATCCTGGGGAAAGTGGACCTGCTAAGATTAAATTATGAATGGCTTGTCAAACAGGACCCTTCTAGCAGATCTTAGGTTTTTAACATCAGCCCTGTTATGTCTGAAACAATGGATTAATGATACAGGTTTGTCCCATAAAATAGTTGCATGGATTGGTGAGACAATGCATGTTAAATATCTTAAGCTCTGTGAGAGGGCTTGTTCTTTGTATTGGATATATATTGTGTTTTGTTTCAAGGATATTTGGACATGCTGTTGGAAATGTAGTGTGGAAATTTAATAAGCTTTCTTGAATCTAATAGCTGCATCTTTGCTGGCCTTCTTCCAAATTCTGCTGTAATCCCAAACCCTGATTAGAAAGGATGCACAGTGAAAAAAACACTCGAAGGGGCGCAAAAAATGTTACCAAAATATTGTCCTTGCTTAAACCTAGAGTTGTCTACCTTAAAGCTAAAAGTGCTTTTGGCCTATCATTCTTTCACCAAGAAAGTTCCCAAGGAGCATGACTAAGGAGCAGTAATTAGAATCTGTGAGCTGGAAGTTACAGATTGTAATTTCCCATAAAACACTGGGCTGAAATTAACAGATTTAGATTTGGTATAAATTGATTGGTTAGCTGTGGGGTGTAATAAATTTTACCAGCATAGCAATTAGGACTTCTTGCATCCTGTCACTCAGGAGAATCAGAAAAATGAACTTGTGCAACTAGAAATAAAATCAAAACATCCAAGCTTAGCAGGGGAAAATCTGACCTCTGTTTCATCTGCTAATCTTTGTTTCTCTTTTTTCCCCTCTCTCTCTTATTTCTACTGCCAAAAGTAATATACGCAAATGTGACAGAATACAGTTCTTTCACTCTTTCACACCACCATTCTAATAGTGCATACTTTGTAAGGGCACCAAGCTTATGTAGGCATACAGTTGCTCTGCCTGTATATATAGATTCAGACAAATAGTTTTTTTTTGAATGGAACAGGATTGTATGAACACCATGAAAGATCACTACAACTTTGATATATTTTGTTATTGCTACCATTTTGTACTATCAACTCACATTTGGTTACTAGATATTTGTTTATAGCATAATCCATGACATTTACAAAGGCATAGCCAGGATAGTCTTTTCCAGCCTGTATGAAAAAATCTCTCATAGCACCTTTAAATCTTAATAGAGATAGCAGATAATAATCTTACTAGGCTTTAAGGTGTCAGCTATTCTGTTTTGTTTTGTTTTCTGTCTTGTTATATATAATCAGATTTAGACTAATTTAGATAACTTGGGACCTGGTGCTATTTTTCTGCTGTTTGGGGGAGCTGGGAGAATTTTGTCAATTGGCTTAGCCACCTTGATCTGAAATTTCATATGATTACCTGCTCCAGTGAATAGATCACCTCTAAATTATAGCCAACCTGCATTTACAAAACTTTGCAAACCTGATTGGAATACAGATGATTCCTACTTTAGCTGGTGTAGCTCAGTGAGTTGGAGCACCTAGCTGCAGATTCAAAGGCTAGAAGTTCGAATCCCCACTGTGCCTCCTGAGAGAGAAGCCAGCCAAGCTGACCCAGAGCATGTGTGGTAGATGGACTAGGTGACCCACCACCTATGTAGCCTTGGACAAGCTGCATAATCCCACAGTACCATCAGGAGGTGTGGATGGTAAACGAGTTCTGAGGTCTGTCCCAGGGCAGTGTACTGGCTCCTGTTTTGTTTAACATATGCACCAATTACTAACTGTTTTCTTAAGACACCAAAAGTTTTATTGACGTTGATGATTTCACACTTGTTACCCAGTCTTTTTGATGACACAACAGCTTTTAATAAATGCATTACATGAGCTTGACACATATTATGATAGAAATAAACTTAAACCAGATCTGCTAAGACTCAAATATGTGCCTTCCATCTAATAAACAACAAGCATCTTAGAAACGTCAGTTTACTTTGAAGGGCATATAGCTAGCTTTTTGTATTGCCCCCCTGAGTTTAGTAGCTCATCTTGGTGTTACCTTGGACTGCATGCTGACCTGTAACAAACATTGCCAATATACAAAGCAAAAGTTCTTCATGTGAAACAATATTCTTGAAAAGCTATTGGAAACCAGCTGGGGCTCAAAACTACAAAGACTAAGAACCTCAATTGTGGTCCTGTGCTTCTCTGCAGGCAAATAAAACAGCCTGGTGTGGTATAGCTCATCCCATGCAAAACAGACAAAGCACTCAATGAAAGATGTAGAATCAATCCTGGATACCTGAAACCAGTGATAAAATCAATTTACCTAGCAGGCACTGCACCCAGGGACCTATGGAGAGAGGTAGTAGCTCACAGTGAAAGGCTCAAAACATTTACATCAAATGTGCATCTGCTCTTTCGCCACCATCCTGCCCTCCCAGATTAAAATCAAGGAATTTAATCTTGTGAATCTTGAAGGAATCTTGTGAATCTTGAAGGAACAGCAAATAATTCTAGGGTTATACTGTACTGTGGGAACAAATAACTATCCACCTCTTAAAATGGAAAGAACATTTGAGGCAGTGAACATAAAATTTTCCATTGTACATGTAAAGGGACATAGTGTACACTGGTATAGGTATGAAGTTGCCTGGGTAGAAAAGAACAGGCAACTTAACACCTATGTCATTGTACTCTGTGCCCCTCAACATGTACCATGGAAGAAGATTTGGTGTTAGCTGCCCCAAATGCTCTTAATGTTGTCCATTATTAGGCCCCCCAAAATATTAGGTTACATTTATTAACTGTAATGTGGCGCTTCTGATATGAGCAAAGGAAGTTCTGGTATGGCTACTACCAGGCTAAAGACAGTTGACCAGCAACTGGGCCGACACATAACATTTTATTTCTTGAGCACCACAAATGCATTGTACAAGTCCAGCCCGTCAAATTATTGTGGTATCTGCACATGAAAATCTCACACATGCTTGTCTATAGACTCTTGGAAATGCTTCTTGAAAATGCAAAAACAATAATTGGTTGTTTGGTTGTTTGGTTGTTTGGTTGTTTGGTTGTTTGGTTAGGTAGGTAGGTAGGTAGGTAGGTAGGTAGGTAGGTAGGTAGGTAGGTAGGTAGGTATTTCGTGGAACCCATGATTGGTATGTATGTATGTATGTATGTATGTATGTATGTATGTATGTATGTATTTATGTATGTATGTATGTATGTATGTATGTATGTATGTATGTATGTATTTATTTTAGGGAAGCCATGATTTGTGGAAACTAAATTCCATTGGCTTCAGTGGGATCTATTGCCAGATATCTGTATAAGATTGCTGCGTACATTGGTCAATGAACTGCTTAATTAATTTATTTAATTTGCATGTATGTGTGTGTGATTAAAAACAATAGAGCAGGCAGAAGATAGCCCTTTTATTTCGTATAAGACAGCATATCTTTTAAAAGATAGCATTATAGCCCTAGTTTTATTACTATGGTTGCAGAACAGTTCTTGGGAGAATAGAATAATTGTTGTTGTGATTTTATAGCCAGAATGAAAAATGCAAAAGCCAAACCAAGTTTTTATTTTTATTTTTTATTTATTTCATTTATATCCCGCCTATCTGGTTGGGTCAGGACCACTCTAGGCGTCTGTTAAGTGTAATTATAATAATCTTCAACACACTGAATATCCTCATCATTTTTTCTTTTCTTTCTGAAAATGCTTCCTCTCCCAGTTCAACCTGTTCATCATATTAACATAGGATATACATTATTGCTTTTGCTTGTACATCCTCTTTCACATAACCTATGTACATATTAATGTCTGAAATACTTGCTTAACCTTCATTTCATTCTATAAATAGTAGATAATATGATGTTGTGGTATCTACCGGCACATGAATAATGCAGACAGCTGCTGATTGCTTTCTAGAGGATCTGCCACATTTTCTATGATGTCTGAAACTCTCAGAAATTATTGTCTGAAGAGTGGTTGAGGTGGAATACATTAAAAATGAAGTGTTCGTTCATTCATTCATTCATTCATTCATTCATTCATTCATGCATGCATGCATGCATGCATGCGAAGTGTTCATTCATTCATTCATTCATTCATACATACATACATACATACATACATACATACATACATACATACATACATACATACATACATACATACATACATACATACATACATACATACATACATACACCAC